CACATCATCACTTTTTGGCTATATTATCTTTCACGTGGACTATTATATGACATGTCATTTGATAGTCGTGAAGTAACATGCCATGTCACACAATTTTTAATGGAAGGACCAAATCGAGGTAAAAATGGTAAACAATAGGGACTAAATCAGGGGTTTTTTTAGTTTAGGGACCAAATCGGAGATCCATACAATAGTTGAGGGACCAAAAAAGGGTTTTAACCTAAAAAGAATCTTTGATATTATTATTACGTAATCCCTATCGTCAACTGTCACGGAGGTAGCGACCAAGTAAAACGCACAATCACGTGTTTTGTTGAATTACATACGTGGGCCATTTCTCTAAAACAATGTTCCTTAATTGCGAAGAAGGAACAGATCCTTGGATGAAAAGTTGGAATTGCCGAACAGATGGAAAACCCACTAAACGAAGAATTAGGATACCCTTTGTTGACCCACTAATTTAATGGTAAAACCTGAAAAGTGGTAATTTAGGGCTCAAACTTTATACCAGTTCTCTAACCAGGGGATCCATATTCTTTTTCTTTTTTTTTTTTCCCTCCCCGTTAAAAATGGATCTTTACTGTTGGGGTATTTAGATCTAGGTGGTGCTATAGGAATAATATTTTTATATTATTTTTTTATATAACTTTTACATATTATTAAATGAGTTGATATATTTAATATTACGGATTTTACATAATGATAATGCTATAAGAACAACTTTTTTATATCATGTTTTTATATAACTTTCACATATCATTAAATGAGTTGATGCATTTATAAGTCTCATATAAATTAAAAGAGCCAATTATTTTAATAACAAGTCAGGTTGTATAAAAAAGTAAGACAAAAAGGTTATACAAAAATTATTTCCCTCCACTTAAATTAAAATAACCAATCATTTTAATTACACATCAAGTTGTATAAAAATGTGAGACAAAAAGGTTATACAAAAATCATTTCCCTTTAGATTTATTGTTTAAATTTTATTAATAGTCGGTAATTAATATTTAATAACTAAAATTATTATTATTGTATATAATTCAGAGTATATAATAAATTCAATTAGAATTAAAAGTTAATAACTATTTTTAAAACACTTAAACAAACAAGTGGTAATTGTGTTTTTTCTCACGGCAACAGATAAGAGTGGCAAAAATTCACTGAACTCGTCAACCTGACCCTAACCCAATTTGTAAAAACGGGTTAAGGTTTACATATTTCAACTCGCAACCCGTTAATAATTCGTATTATTAACCGTACAGATCACGGATTGGGTTAGGGTCAACCCACGGGTTGACGAATTGACCCGTTTGTTTTATTTTTTATTATTATTTTTGAAAATATTATATTTATTATTCTTAATTAATTTTTTCATTGGTAACCCCTTCCATTAATTCATACTTCATAATTTCTAGAGAAATAAAAGAAATTATGATGAGTTTGAACTAATTACTTAAGTATCATTTTTTTTGTATTAATAATTATCCAAGTATCATTTTTTTTTAGTATTAACAATTATCCAAGTATCATAAATGAAATGATAATGCAACTAAAATATTAAAATATATGATGCTAAGACATAAACATAATAATTTAGTGAAAAATGTTTTTGGAAGAGCAATTTCATCATTAAAAAGATGGCTTGAACTACTTAATAATGTTTCAAGATGATTATAAAATTAAAACTTTATTTTCCAAGAAATTTAAATATTTTATGTTTAATATTGTTAATCAACTTATTATTATTTATAACTTTATGATTTTTTTTACAAAATTTAAATGTTTTTGATTGAGACTATAAAATACTTAATGTTAATGAATCACAATACTTTAATTAGATTTAGATATATATAATTTTATTTGTATATAGTAAAATTAATAAAAATAATTATAAAGAATGAAAATAAAGTCAACCTACAGGTTAACTTGCAACCCTTTAAGATCGGGTTAAAATTAAATTTTTCCAACCCGCAACCCATTTATGATCCAACCTGTATAGTCCGTCACCCGAGTTAATCCAACCCGAACCCAACCCAAGCCAACCCATCCGTTTGCTAGGTTTAGCAACTAACAATAGGGTGGGGCGGAGTGGCCACCTGTCCTTTGCCAACTTTGTTTTTAAATCTTTAATTTGACTTTCTAACCTTTTATATATAAATTTTATATAAAAATTTAACAATTTAAATAAATAACAATTAAAAATTCTATTTGAAATTCTTTTCAAATATTTTTATATAATAATAAAATTTTAATTATCATGTTTATAATATGTTAAATTTTTATTTAAAATTTATGTCTAAAAAGTCAAAAAAATAAATTAAATTTACTATAAATGAATGGAGAGAGGAATAGATTTTAAAAAAAATTACTAGTATCACTTTATATGAAAAAAATTAGTCATTAAATAGCATGTATTACATGGTCATTAGATAACAATTCACCAAATAGTCATAATAATTTTTTTTCCTTTTATGTGATTAATTCTTAAAATAAAAAAGTTCATCAAACGACTTTCCTCTCCTATGTAACATGTGGAGAATGCGTTTGGAAAATGAACAAATGATTAAAAAAAAAAGTAAAAAAGAAAAAGAAAAATAATTTTATAAAAGCTCCATTCTTGCCCATCTTCCTTCAATTTCTCTCGTTCCCTCTCAACTGCATAATTTTCTTTTTCTCCAGTTTTTTTTTTTTTTTTCTTTTCAATCGGCTTTCTCTTCTCCATGTTGGGAAAACATTTAGTTGAGAATTGAG